AGAACCCTTTTCAAAAAAAAAAAAAAAAAAAAAAAAAAAAAAAATCAATAGCAACAGAGCAATCTAATTAAAAATATAAGCAATAGATCTAAATAAACATTTGCTAAAATACATACATATGGCCAACAGGTATAATATAAAATGTTCAACATTAGTAATATTCTAGAGTATACAAATTTAAAAAGGAAAATGTCATTATCACTCTAGTTAGAATGGCTATTATAAAAAAGACCAGGCCCAGCCGGGTGTGGTGGCGTATGCCTGTAGTCCCAGCACTTGGGAGGCAGGCAGATCTCTGTGAGTTCAAGGTCAGCCTGGTCTACATAGTGAGTTGAGGACAGCTGGGGCTACAGAGAGACCCTGCTTCAACAAAACAAAACAAAAACAAAAACAAAAACAAAACAAAAAAACAAAAAAAGACCAGGCCCATGAGATGGTTCAGAGGGTATGAACATAGCCATTCAGGCCAGAGATCGGAGTGCAATCCTGGGACCCACATGGTGAAAGAAGAAAACCAACTCTCTCAAGTAGTCCTATGACTGTCATACATGTGCCGTGGCAGAGAGAGAGAGAGAGAGAGAGAGAGAGAGAGAGAGAGAGAGAAAAAGAAAAAGAACAAAGATAAAGAAATTCCTGTATACTACTGGTAGGAATGTAAACTAGCAGTCACTATGGAATACAGAGGTTTCTCAGAAGAGTGAAGTAGAAAACACTATAGGTAAAGATGTGAGTTCTTATTGCAGCACTATACAAAATGGCCAAGAAATGGAAACAATATATATGACTATCAAGTGAAGAATAAAGTATCACGTATATGAAATACAATTCATCCATAAAAAGGATGAAATCCTATTTCTCACAGTATGGATAAAACTGAAAGTGACTGAGTATATTCAATGAAATAAGCCAGCCACAGAAAAATAAGTTCCACATGATTTCACACATATTTAAAAAAGTGAGTTAGGAGTTAGGAGAGGGAAGGCTATACAAGGAGCTATGGGGGTAAAGGGGAAGAAGGGGGGGAGACCCTAGGAGACAGGTATTATCAAGGGAGAAATGAGTAAAGTGGGAGGATTAACAAGGGAGTGAGAGGAGAGGTAAATAATGCCTAGCTGTTATAAAAAAAAAAAAGTAGAAGGAATCGTATTAGTCCAAAAACCTATTGAAAAATTACACATACAGTATCTCTACAGGAGTCCATGTGTATAGCTGAAGGCTACATAACAAGGAACAGTGCCAGACAGGAGAGACTCCCTTTGAGTTGTTGGTCAGGATTATACAAGAGACTCCCAAAATTACACAGGCTATTGCTACAGCCCTTGATTACCTCCCAGAACTTGAAAGTAAGACACTACTGCTGAAGACAGGACATACTTCAGACACAGGACTTGGAGTGATGGAGCTGGAACTGACCAGGAAGCCACCTCCCCTGAAGTTAGCTCTTATATAAGTTTTGGAGAACACTATGTAAGCTACTAAGGTTCAACCCCAGTTTTAAAAAAAATATTTTATTATTTAATACATTTTAATTTTATGTGAATGAGTGTATTGCTTGCATGTGTGTAAATGCATCCATGTCATGCAATGCCCGCGGAGGACAGAAGGTGTCGGATTCCCCTGAAACTGGAGTTATGGATGACTGTTAGTTGCCATGTGGGTGCTGGGAACTGAACCCGGCTCCTCTGCAAGAGCAGTCAGCGCTCTTAATCACTGAGCCATCTCTCCAGCCCCATCCCGTTTTAAGGCCTAATAACCACAACAATGACCAGCACATCAAACTATATTGGTGCAAGGCCAGGAGTGGTGGCACATGCCTTTAATCCCAGCACTCTGGAAGCAGAGGCAGGAGGATCTCTTTGAGTTCCAGGCCAGCCTGGGGCTACATGGAGATCCTGTCTCAAAAAGACCAAAACAAAACAAAACAAAAAAACCAAAACAACCCCGCTCAGCCAAAAAAACCCATATTTGGTGCAGTAGTAGATCTTGGAGGTAATCAATAGCTACCTAATTGGACTTAAAGCCCACTTATGTGAGGGAACTCATGTGTGGTATTGCAAACATAGCCAAATACAAATGGCTGAAGAGGTCATAGCTCTTACAGAAAACCCCAAGGCTGTCACATCCCTAGACAAATGTAATTTCATACTATGTGCTAAATATGGATCCTTTACAGACAAGTATGCAGTCACCACTCATCAAAGAAGCTTTTTGCAACAAAACTATTACAGAGTTCCACAACTGGTCACACAGATTAAGTGTCTATGAAATCCCAATCCTAAGTGACACAACTATAACGGAACCTCTACACTTAAGACGTGTGGAACATAGTAGAACAAGGGATAGGGAGAATACTAATGCATCTCTCAACTCTCATCAATGAAGCTCCCTCATGCAACAGAGGACAATGAACCTAGGGGTCAGGGACCATTTCAGAAGAAGGAGCAGAAAGACTGTAAGAACCAGGGGAGGAGGTGCATGACCATATGGAAATAATGAGTCTTACAGACTCCTGGGACCTTGTTCATATGAACTTACAGTAATGGTGACAGCAGGCACAAGACCCATGTAAACTCAAGCAGACAAAAACCTAGCACAGATGGCAGAAATGGGCAACAGGCCAAAATCTTGGCCAAAGTACTATAGGACAGGTGAGGAGGAGCTGATCATTTTTTTTTTCTTTTTTGTCTTTTGGAGACAGGATCTCCCTATAGCATCCAGCTGGCCTGGAACTATATGTAGACCAGCCTGGCCTCGAACTCACAGAAATCTGCCTGCCTCAGCCTCCCAAGTGCTGGGATTATAGGCATGCACCACCAATGCCTGGCCTTGAGCTGATTTTCTTTAAGGAAGTGACTCTAGATAGGCTGACTAGACCTAAGTGGATGAAACTGCACCTGAAGGACGTCAGGGGACACTAACTTGATTCCATAGGCCTTAACATAAATGTTACTGAAATCCAGTGTCGGGGGGACCTATGGGAGGGTCCTGATGGGGAAGGAGGTATAAAGAAGGCTAAAATGCTGTGTATGAAACACACAAAAAGTCAATAAAAAATATATTTTTTAAAAAGTACCATAGATGTTGAGAGTAATTTGATTATCAGAGGCTAGGGAGAGAAAGAGGAGGGAAAGACGAAGAAGTTGATCAAAGGGTACTAAGTCACAATTAGATAGAAGGTAGATCGATGGTCTGGTATGCAACTGCACAATTTTAAGTACTATGTATATTTCAAAAAGTAGGAGGAAGGACTTCAAATCTTTTAACCAGAGAGAAAGAATTAACATTTGAATAAACATACTTAACCTAATATAAACATTATATAACATACACAAATATCAGTATGTTACATCCCATTAATATGCATACTTTTATGTTTTTAAGTGTCGGTTAATAGAAACGAAACAAAATGTAGTTAAGGGGACACTAAAAAGACAAAGAATATGTCACAATATACCAATTAGTGTAAGCATTATTGTAAGCTGAAGACAAGTAAAAAGTAGCAGAAACAAGAAAAGATGTGTGCCCCTTTCCTATTAGCCTCAATACAGGGCATGGTGTTCGTAGATGCGTTCCCTTCCTTCTGCTTACCAGGAAAAGCTAGCTATCAGGGACAATTTGGGATTCTTATCCCTCTGAAGAAGGCATCATAGGGATCACACAACAAACATTACTGATTACTCCTTATTTTCTAGTATCTCCATTTATTTAGCTTTGCACAATTTGCCACCCTAGAAACTCAAAGTTCTTTTCCTTTGTCTTGCCACTTTGTTAGTTTTTTGTTCTTTTGTTAGGATGATATGACGCTTTGCATTACCTATTACTGAGTGCTCCTAGGTACAGGAACAGTGCATTATGCTTTTGAAGAAAAAAAATGGTATTAGGATTATAAGCATTCACCATCACACCTGACTAGAATCAGATTTTTACAGTAGGAAGAAAACTTACAGGTCATACAGTCCAAGGGATTAATTTGTTAAGGTAGATAGTCTGAATACATACAAATGATATGCTCATTTATTTAGGCTGACAAATGTATATATTAGTTTCTCAGTTGACCAAAAGTACTTACCTGTTTGGGGATATTGTGGAACTTCAAAGGGTATCTGAGTCCTTGGATCTTGAAAATATTGAATGTTTTCAGAATGCTGAGGATAGACTGGAACTCTAGTTAGAAATGGGCTGGATTTTGGAGGCACAGAACTCAGCTCTGTTCCAAAATTAGAGGGCCCAGTGGAGGTAGCAGCTACGTTACTTACAGGAGTCTTGGGTGGAGAGCCAATTTTACTGGAGAGAAAATTTAACAAAGAACAAAGGATAAATCACTATGTTAACCCTTCCTTGGTAGAAATTTTTCATAAAATTATATGGCAAAATCACTAACAGAAAACAGGTGAGTTATTTCCACAGCGGCAAATGTACTTGGCAAGGAATTAAAGCCACCTCATACTGTGATTCACATGACCACATGGTAACAGATCTCTTTTTCTGGTGGGGTTAACAGAAAATGAAAATACATCCCAGGTACTAAGGTATCTGGCATTTAACCCATTCTTTAAGATTTATTATTATTATTATTATTATTATTATTATTGGTGGCCTGGATTCGCTATGGAGACCAGGCTGGCCCCAAACTCACAGAGATCCTCCTGCCTCTGCCTCCCAAGTGCTGGGATTAAAGGCATGTGCCACCATGCCTGGCCCTATTTTTATTATTTTTATGTGTGTGTGTGCATGTGTAAGTGAATGCTACATGTGTATGAGGGTGCTCTCAGAGGCAAAAGAGGATGTTGGATCTCCTGGATTTGGAATTACAGGTGGTTGTGAGGTACCTGACATGGGGGCTGGGGACTGAACTTGGGTCCTGTTGAACAGCAGAAAGCACTCAACCTCTGAGACATCTTTCCAGACCGATGTGACCCATTCTTTAACACTTTGGTTGTCTGCCTTACCCTTTAATGGCTGCACTATCCCTCCAGCCCTGACCCATTCCTTAAACAAAGATTTTTCCTACTGGAAAATCAAGAAATAATGGTTAATTTCTTACTGTCTGCTAAATATAGATCCCTATATTTACAGACAAGTATACCAGTATACCCATACAAGAAGCTTCTTTTTTCAACAGATGGAAACTATTACAGAGTCCCACAATTTGGTCGCACAGAGAATAAGTGTCTGTGATATGACTGGTCGTAAGTGACACATGTACAATGGAATCTCTACACCTAAAGCTCATGGGACACAGTGGATCAGGAGGTAGACAGAACACTAATGTACCTCTCAATGATCACTAGCTAAGCATCCTCATGAAACAGAGGGTGGTGAACATAGAAGGCCACAACTGGCTGGAGTGTAGAGAATAAGAGATTGCAGTGTGTGTGTCCTTGGATTGGACTCCTATATTAAACCTTACCCACCCAGAACTCAGGGACCATTGTGGAAGAGGGGAAGGAAAGATATTTAAGAGTCAGGGTAGTACATGACTGTAAGGAAAGTCTTCCAGGCTTCTGCGAACTTGCTCATATGAACTTACAGCAATGGTGACAGCATGCACAAGATCCACGCAAACTCAGACAAAAAACGCAGCAGAGAACTGGGGAAACGGGCATGGAGCCGCAACCTTAGCTGAGGAACTATTGGTAACTCGTTACTGCTTGGTAAGGGAGAACTGATTAAGGGAGTGACACTAGATAGGCTGACCAGGCTCCAGTGGATGACTCACACCAAGGGACATTTGGCTATACAAACTTGATTTGATAGTCCTTAACACATCTGACAGAATGCATGAAATTCTGTGGGTAGGCTATGGCGTGGGCAGATAGGAGAGGGAGCCTAAATATGATCAGGATGTACTGTATGAAATGCACAAAAATTCAATTAATAATATACATTAAAAAAAAGAAATATAAGTCCTGTTCCAAATATTTACAAGATAATCAATAGAGTCTAGCAGTAGTATTTCATACAAAGAAGATAAACATAGTGGGGGAAAAATTGCCCTACTAATTAGATAAAAGTGCAAAATATAAGAAATGCCCATTTTTGTCTATTTTGTTAACTCTTATGTGTCATCAAGAAAACAGTTACTAGTTTGGAGCAAGGCATTCAGTGAACACTTGTTAGACAAATAAAATACCTTCTGGCACACAATATTTAGTAAAGATCTGCTGGGTAAGAGCCAATAAAGAATTTTGCTTAACACAAAACAATTTTCAATGAGAAAGTAAGATTTCCATATAACTAATGTTTATAGCGTTAATTATTGAATACATAACAGACACTGTGCTAAATGTTTCATAAATATTATCTGGTCCTTTCATGCCAAAAATATTACATATAATCAATGTGGATCAGTACTTTGCAATGGCAAATTCATAAGATTTATCCAGAAGCAGGTATCACAATCCATGACAAGGTAAGTATCTTCATAGCCTCATGTAAGCCATCCTAAACATTTAGATTTAAGGACAAAGCAGCTCTCCAGTTACGTCCTATTCAGGGAACTAGATGAATGGCTTCATCCTAGACGACTTCTGGGATTCTACATTCTCCTCCCAATCAATTCCCCTCATGGCTCCATGTTTTTTCCTGTGTTGCTTTCTCTCTTCATAAGGATTCTCCTGCTTTATTATCTAACCCTTGGAACCAACTCAGGTGTCACAACTTCTCCTCTGAAAGTCTTTCACAATACCTCCTACAAAGAATTGATTATGTATTTTCCAGTTTTCCAGTAATACAAATTTTTTCAGACTATATCATATAGAATCTATTTACATATCTGCCTCCAAACTACACTAGAAGACCTGCAGAGGCAGGGAGTGTATCCACTTTATTTTCATTAAGGACATCAGTTGGCCTCATGTTTGGCATACATTAAGTGATCCATATATTTTAATGAATAAGTGACTAATTTATCTAGTTTATTGTAAGTTTTCTTACTAGGCCCATTAAAAACTTTAAGATTTAAAAACCATTTATTACATTTTATTTAATAATTTGGGGGGGCAGTTATGCAGGTGCCATCATGGGTTAGTGTATGTGCCTCAGTGTACTATAGTGCACCAGTAGAGGTCAGAAGACAACCTGAAGGATTAAGTTCTCTCCTACCATTGGGTTTCAGGGATAAAACTCGGGTTTTTAGATTGGCAGCTGTTTTAGGCTAGGCTTTACCTATCAATCTATCTTATTAGATCTTACAAATTTTTTTTTGTTTGCTTAGTGTGTGTTTTTATGTGTGGGCAAAGAGCCCATGGTCCCTCCCAAAGAGTGCATGTGTAGGTAAGAGGGCAACTTTCAGCAGTTAGTTCTCTTCTTCCACATGTAGGTTCAGGGGACTGAACTCAGGCTGTCAGGCTTGGTAGTAAACAGCCTTACCCACTGAGTCATGTTACCAGCCCTATCCATTTTTCTTTTTCTTTTCTTTTAATTGAGATACAGGACCTAGGGCTAGAGCTTAGTGGTAGAGCACATGCCTACTCATAAGTTTTTCTAATAATCATCACTATCTAATTCTGAAATATTTTCATCATCCTCATGAGAAAACCATGCCATTAGCATCCACTCCCCATTCCCACACCATCCTTAGCCCACAGCAACCACTACTGTACTCCTTTCTGTCACTATGGATTTGCCCATTTTGGACATTTACATTAAATGGAATTGCACATGACTTTTTGCATCTGGCTTCTTTCAGTTGGCATGTTTTCTCTTCTCTCAGAACTGGAATTGGAACTAGGGCCTTGTGCATGTTAGAAACATCATGGCTGAACTATATAAACACAGCTTACTTTTTAATTCCTTTCCTATTTTTTATTTTCTTTGAGACAAGATCTTACTAAGTTATCCCATCTGGCCTGGAAACTCACTCTGCAGGCCAGGCAAACCTTGATCTTTAGATCCTCTTAACTCGACCTCTGAACTAAACAAGATTACAGACCTGCACCACAAGGCCTGATGTAGCATGTTTCTAAGGTTTATCCATATTGTGGCATGTAAGAGTACTTTGCTGGTGCTTTTTTGTTTGCTTGTTTTGGTTATGTTAATGGCTGAATAACTGAATTCATTTTACGAATATAATTGTTTTATAACATCACCTTGCCAAAACCTTCAACACTCATTTTCTACATATATATGGTTTCCATAGCCTGGTATCAATCTACTTAGGTAATCATATTTTATAACAGTCAGTAAGATAAGCCCCATTTTGGGGGGGGGTTGTTTTGGTGTTTTTGAGACAGGGTCTCCCCGTAGCCCCAGCTGTCCTGGAACTCACTATGTAGACCAGGCTGGCCTTGAACTCACAGAGATCCAACTGCCTCTGCCTCCTGAGTGCTGGGATTAAAGGCATGTGCCACCATGCCCTGCTAAACCCCAGGTATTTAATTATATATATGATGCTAGAGATCAAACACAGGCCCTCGTGCATGCGGGCAAGAACTCTACCACTGAGCTACATCTCTAGTCCAAACTTTAAATCGTGGTGCACTTACATACCTCAAGCAAGATACTCATACACATTAAAAAAAAAAAAATCCCAAACTTTTTTTAAACTCCCATATTTTCCCTAGCAACCAAAATGTTCCTATTCTTCAACTCTAGTGTGCTCCATTTGTGTAAATGCTGCATCCACATCATAGAATCACAAATCCTTTAAAGGCAGAAGTAGCTTATATTTTATGTATTCCAAATAGTACCAACAGAAAAGCTTAGAATGGGTACACAAATAACACTTGTGAAGTAGACAATTTTTTCCCAAATATCTTCCAGAGAAGATTAAGATCTCTTTAATGAAGAATTTTCCCCATTACATGCCAAACTACACACCAGAGAATTTTAAAGTGAACTTGTATTCTCTATTATAGGAAGTCATTAGCAGTTTACTGTGTCATCAAGCATGATGCTATTTTTTTGACAGTAGGCATTTAGTAGGTACTGGCAAACTTACTTAAGTGGAATGAAATCAGAAAATGCTTTAATTTGGATTTTTAAACCTCAAAAGAACACTAAGGTACAAGATTTTAGAACTGGAAGTAACTCACAATTACCTGAAAGTTTTAACTCTTTTTCATAAGGTAATAAAACCCTTTGCCAAATGAAATCTTGTATTATCACCCAACAACAACAGCGATGGTAAAAATAAAGCAAATATTACTGAGTGCTTACTAAGTGGCAAGCACTATTCAAAGTACACTGCAGTAGTGACTATTTTTCACAATCAATATGAGTACATGACGCACTTATCTACTGAACACACCCAATCCATGAAGTAGGTGTTAATTTTTTTTTTTTTTTTTTTTTGAGACAGTGTCTCCCTGTAACCCCAGCTAGCCTGGAACTTGTATGTAAACGAGACTGGCCTCCACCTCACAGAGATCCACTTGCCTTTGCCTCCCAAGTGCTGGAAATAAAGATTTGTGCCACCATGCCCAGCAGGTATTATAATGTTTATAACTATATAACCCAAGGAAGACAGCTATAATAACTGGCTTAAGACCCAATAATGGGGCCGGAGAGATGGCTCAGCAGTTAAGAGCACTTGTTCTTGCAGAGGACCCAGGTTCAAGTCCCAGCAACAACACAGTGGTTAACAACCATCCATAACTCCAGTTCCAAGGGAACCCAATGCCCTCCTCTGACCTCTGCAGCACTGCATGATACAAGTACACTTACACTTACACACACACACACACACACACACATATATATATATATGCAGGCAATATACTCACACATATAAAAATAAAGACAATAATTTTTTTTTTTTTTGGATCTTTTTGAAGCAGGGTCTCCCTGTAGCCCAGCTGTCCTGGAACTCACTATGTAGACCAGGCTGGCCTTGAACTCACAGAGATCCGCCTGCCTCTGCCTCCCAAGTGCTGGGACTACAGGCGTGCACCACCATGCCCGGCAATAAAATATTTTTTAAAAAGATCCAAAAGTAGGGAAAAGTGGAAAGTGATCCATAATTGGAAGTCAAAGAATTTGGTTCAAAAGAGTCCCCTCTTAAATACCATCACAAAGTACAAAGCAGAAGTAGGGTTGAGGGCTAGAGCTGCTCACCTGCTGAGGTCTTTACATAAGTTCCTTTCTGGCACCTCTAGGGAAACCTACTGAAATTCAAGAAAATAAGGCAAACCCTAATTTTGGTCCAACCTCTTTAATGTATAGTTGGGGAAACAAAACTCAAGAGTAGAAGTGATTTTTGAAGTCTGCAGAGCTAATTAGTACCATAACCAGTATCAGAACTCAAATTTTCTTTGTACTTAGTATTTTTTCCTACTACATGAATAATTGTGCAAAAAAATTTCAATGAACTGTTGTTCCTTCAGATGAAAAAAAAATGAGGCTGTTTCTAAAAGAGATGAAGAACTCAATTCTTTTCACCCAATACCTACTTTTCCGCTACAGACTCTGCAGAGGGCCCAGCAGCATTCTGACCATTACTGCCAACTTTCCCGACTTTCTTCACAGTCTCCAGAGTCCTTATTGAACTGTCAGTGCTACGTGGGATTAGCTGGGAAACACTGCTTTCGGTGTTTGAAATTCCATTTGTACTTGGAACAATTTTCCCACTTGTCTCAGTACTTCCTATGACAGAAATGACATTTCCGGCTGTGGTTGTGACAGTGTTGTTTACACCAACTTTATTTAGAAGAGGAAATGTTCTTACAGTCGCACTGATCTTTTTGTTCCTTAATCGATACCTGTTTAAAAATAATCAACATATTGTTAACACTGCTCTTAACTTTAATCTGAAAAAATAAAATGAGAAAATATTTTCTAAAGGAAACAGCTATGTAAAGCTTCTTCAGCTAAATATCAAACACTCTACATCAAGATGACAGATGAAAATATACTATTCACATGTGTGAAGCACACATGCATACACTGGCACATAATTAATGTGACAAGCAAAGTAAACATACATTCAAAAAAGCTTTCTGAGGGGCTGGAGAGATGGCTTAGTGGTTAAGAGCACTGACTGCTCTTGCAGAGGATCTGGGTTCGATTCCCAGCACCCACGTGGTGGCTAAGAACTGTCTGTAGCTCCAGGGGATCCCACACTCTCTTCTGACCTCTGTGGACATTGTGCAACATGGGTGTACACACATACATGCAGGCAATACACTCATACACATAAAATAAAAATAAAAAAAAACATGAAGAAAAAAGCTTTCTGAAGGAGTGGGAACAGAGTATTTAAAATTTTTAGGGGGTGGGGCTGGAGAGAGAGCTCAGCAGTTAAGAGTACTGACTGCTCTTGCAGAGGCCCCAGGTTTGATTCCCAGTACCCACATGGCAGCTACAAACCGTCCTTAACTCCAGTTCCAGGGGAATCTGAAGGCCTCTTCTGACCTCCATGGCATTGCACGACATAGGTGCACTCACATACATGCAGACAATACACTCATACACATAAAATAAAAATA